CAACGGGGTTACGCACAACTAGAGTTTTGACCTTGTGTTTTGTATTGACCGTTTTCCCCCGTAGTACAACCGCATTGAATTCAGATCGTAGACTTGTGATGGCCTTGAATATCTTGCTCTAACTAGAAACATAGAAGGTAAGAGAGGCAGAGAGAGAGAGAGAGAGAGAGAGAGAGAGAGAGAGAGAGAGAGAGAGAGAAAGAGAGAAAGAGAGAGAGAAAGTGAAAGAGAGAGAGAGAGAGAGAGAGAGTGAGAGAGAGGGAGAGAGAGAGAGAGAGAGAGAGGGAGAGAGAGAGAGAGAGAGAGAGAAACTGATTGTTATGGGTGATGGACAAAAAATGTTTATAGAGAGCAACCGAGCAGAGTAATGAGTGACGAACCACAGTTGCTTGTGTTTATGTCAGACTTGGCACTTGAAAAAGATTTGTCAATGTTTGGCGACAAGCAAAGTCTGACTTTTAGCGGCTTGATACCTTATGAGTACGGCAGGACTTGGATACTTACCACTTGGAGCGGTTCACCTTGTCGAGACCTGACCAGTCAGATAAAGATGATCACACTGATAATTATATCAGTTTGGTAGCAAGTATTTATCGGTATCAGTTTTAACATATGAGCTATTATTGCAGTGCAATTGTGGTTTCCGATAAATATTCTCGCCTTTTGATACCATTCGATCATATGAAAACCGTGGGATCGTCTTTGCTGTTCAATTTACCGAAGCCCCGGGAAAAAAGCAGGATTCATATGAAGAAATGGATCATTCCATGAGTTCTGAACTATGCTTTTCCTGACAGATGCGATGTTAGCACTGCAGGCAATCATTGCCGACACACTTCCGAGGTGCTGTGAGAGGTAGATCTAATGGAGGGCATCCCATGCCTGAGAATCATGTTGAAGTGGATCCTTTCGCACGCACGGTGGCGTCCAAGGAAATGAACAGACGGACAGGGTGAAAAAACTGGGTGTGCAGACAGAGAAACCAGACAACACAGAAATTAAAACTCTCATAGAAACATTAGATCTATTTGATGCACCACAGACACCAAATAATTACCATGAGCTGTCCCGCCAAGAACAAGTGATTATCTTCAGACTAAGAGTCAGACGACACAATGACATATACAGGAACCTGCACAATTTTTTAAAACTAGGCCTAGAACTAGAACAATCACCAAAATACCAATATGGAGAAGCGAACCAGACTGTGGAACGCATCATCCAGCAGTGCAGAACACTCTGGGCCATGAGGCAGGAAATGTGGCCTACCCCTTTGACACTACAGGAGACGCTGTACGGGCCAATAAGTAGAAGAACTCAGCAGGATGGCACAAAGGTTGATGCGATCGAGAAGAAGAAAAAGACTGCACTATGCGACACCCTCTCAAAAGTCGTACTTTGTTAACACAAGAGACATGTAGTCTTGGTCGCGTTGACTTAAATCCAAAGCGCGACAACATTTCATACCAAATGATATTTTTAAAACCCGGCCAATATCCTGTCTCAGAGAGACGTAATGATCGAATTGTGGTGGGAAAAGGGTCAATTCGTGTAACTGGAACCTAGGTCAAACTTCTAGTCAACATGCCTTAAACCTTTGGCCAACTGAAAGAGGGCATACTATTATGTTTAGTACGAAAAAAAGGTCTAATTTTTTTGGCAACCACGAAGAAATATTATTCCTTTTGACTTTCAGTCCTACATTCGAACGGGGTACACGCCTTAGGGATGATGTGCTCTGTTTCAAGAAAGAGTGTCAGTTTCCCCAGTTTTAGATGAAAATTTGAAATGTTTAAAACTTGACAAGTGTACAAACACGACAGGCCCTCATTAAACACATCAGCTGAGTTAATGACATGAACGAAAGAAAGAGAAATGCAACAATGAAAGCAACCGGAAAGAAAGTATTATTTAAAATGCTGTTTAGGCATAATATGGAGGAACACCTCATTTTTGCATGAGATTACTTGATTGCTTGATTACTTGCTTCCAGAATTAGGATCGCCAGAAAATTTTTTTTATGTTATCTCTATAACTCCTCGCTTATCCTCAAAAGGGTCAATCATAAGGTCTCAAGGTCCCGATCATTAATTGATTACCGATTCGTCTGCTAGGGTAGCAGAAGTTTTGCATGAGGGTCAGAGAGTTTGGTTTTACCAAAATTAAAACATGTATCAGGCAGGGGAACACGGCACTTTGCATCTCTGAGTGCTATATGTCAGGCAGCGTGGTGGAATCAGGATCTCGTCAAAATAATCAGAGTGAAGAAACTTGCATTTTTCCGCAGGTTTGTGAATTTTAATCAAATTTTTGTTTTTTGGCTCAACACCTTTCATGTCCATTAAAGAACTCATTTCTGTGTGGACTTTTCTGAAAAACGTTGATTAAAGGCACAATAAATGTAAATTTTCAGTTACCACGGACTCTTAAGCTAAGGAAATAACTAATCATTGGCGGCCATTTTCTCACTAATTTTACCTCTGAAAACAAGCGACCCCCA